ACAAGAAGACGAATAGATTACCTTTTTGTTAGACAAATAAGTTTATAGAAACACTTTTTTGTGCTTTGTGCTTTGAATTCCAAGTGAAAAAGTGACTGAACTTCTCATGGACCTATTGATTCACATGTATCAATGAAATATGGAGCTAATAATATGTTCTCAACCCATTCAAACTAATAGTAAGTTTGATAACTAATTTACTCGTTTTGTTATCTTTAAACTGAGTTTTCCTTAATTAATGTGAAAAGATGAAAGAAATTTAGAATGCAATAATATTATATCCCCTTACAATATCTGTTTATTGATTCCCTTAGTAATTTATGAAAAAAATTATTAAAATATGTTAAAATTATTTTAAAATAATATTTTATTAATTTAACAAATAAATGATAAAATTTTAATCTATGATATTCTCAACACCCCAGTTCTTTAGTATCGTTTATCAGAAAGAAATACTGTAATAAAGAGTGGTGGCTTCATATGTATGGTGGGCTATGGAAATCTGCTACACGTTGGAGCGCTTTTTTACTCGCATAATTGAAGTTTATGAGACACATACAAATTTATTGATCTAGACACCTTGGGTACCTTGATCTTCGTATCACCGCTCTATGATTAAATTATTTGCCTTTTCTTATATTTTTCACCACTTTAACTAAAAATATATTAATTAATACTCTTAACCAGTACCCTTAATATACTAATTAGCAAGATTATGGTTAGTAATCACTTTAATAAAAAGTCAAGAATAAGACAACGTTACGATTTAAAAGTATTTCTTAAAAGTTGTAGTTGATTTCAATCACACAGTCCTTAATCGTAATCCATATTTTCCGGGAAAAGATGACTGAAAAGATAACACTAGTCTTTGCGGATCCTTTCGTTTTAATCAAGAAGTTTGAAGCGCCATCCATGTTACACGCTATGCTCACTAAATGCATTTACATCAAATGACTCATACAGCTGAGAATATCATCAATTCTGGGACTGAGGGGTGCCAATCGATTGAGGCTGATGCATTTAGCACTGTGAACACTAAAATAAGAAAATATAAATAATTTTAATGTCGGTTTGAATTTTAAAAAATTAAAATTTATTTTTCGTTAAAACGATTGTAAATACACCACTTTTTAATCACTTCATTTTTTTTTTTCACTTTAAGATAATCAAATCCTATGTAAAAAAATTAATTAACAATAATCTTGGAGTGACTTTGACTGGAGTAGCGTACTGAACAGTACCGTTCACGAGGATCTGGTCCTTGAGTCGCTATCGTTTACGTGCATTGTGTAGATATAATTTTTTTCAGGGTATTGGAAATGCAAGTACTCAAATAAGAGAAAAAATCTTACAAACTTTTATGACATTTAAGTCTTTTGTTATACTTATGATTTTAAAAAGTTTCTTTTTAAATAATAATGACCTTAAATATACACCAATAGACACACGTTACACATGGAAAAACAAAGAGAGAAGAGTAGACAATTAAATTGACTTTTAAAAGGGATATTCTAAATTTTCTGATCTAACACTTTACCGGTTGACTATCTTTATTATGTTTGCTATACAAAGAAGTGGCTGAAAAGTTGAGCGCGGCTAGTGAGGTTGGGAAGGGAAGGTTAGAACGAGAGTCACAAGATTTACGAAAATATAATAATCGTTACAGAATTGAAAGCTGGTCCAAGGGCGCATGATGAACATGATCCAAGATCTTCGGCCGTACCCCTTATTCGGTGGATCATTCTTGTCTCGATCACAAATACAGGCAACACACGTGGGATTTCATCTCAAGAAAATTTTGCACAAAAAGGCTAATTCTGGACATTATTACAGATAGGGGGACCGTATATATTTTGAATATTTGATGTCTTCCCTTGTTGGCTACTTTTTGGGAAGAATGTGAAAATTGTTGGGACAGTGCATCCGCCTCCTACAACTTTCATTGAAACAAGTCAACCGTCTTATTGGCTGCTATTTGTTGGTGGTGACTTTGATTTTATATATATTAACTATGAAAATGATCTAATACATACTTACTTGCACGTAAAATTTGTAGACATTATCTCATTAATGTGTAATGTATAACCTTAATTAAGATTGATAAAAAAAAATGAAAAATAAATTCGTCGATAGTTTGTGATGTGAATAATTTTTTGTATGCAACTACTAACCTAACATTGTCAGAATCAAGAAGATAAATAATTTTAGCAATGAAATATTAAACAATATAAGCTTATTAATCATTAAAAAACATGATGTGTTATTTAAAAGATACTCTTAAGTTCCAAAATAGATACCAAACTTTACATTCTTTTATTAATCGGCGATTGATTTAAGTGGTATATATTTGATTCTTTTATCTAAGGTTTTGAATTTAAGTATGTATATGAACAAAAAAAATTAAGATAGTTAATCTTATGCATCGCAGATGGTTTTTACTCACTTTAAAAAAAAATAAACTAAAATTTGATAAGCTTTCATGATGCGCAGTTTTTGAAACATCGAAAGTTGTATATTCACAACTACTTCTAATTTTTTTAAATTAAACTTTGGGAGAACCAATATCTAAAACGACATGTATTGAACTTTCCATAAGATCTCGTCGGCTTTGTTGATCATGTGAACAGAAAGTGGAAACAACGTCAACATATGAATGCACAGATAATTTTGAATATTTCATAATTTTTAATATGAATAGTTAAGAATGAGTCTTGAATATTAAAAGATGATATAATCTAAGGTAAGACATTATTTCCGATGGAAAATTTTATGCATCCGAAGCGTTGTGGTCCATGCTAGATAAGCTTATCTGTAAATTTTATTTCAGCTTATCAAAAGAATACCGTCACAAAACCATAAAATTTCATTTCACATCGCTGGTTTTATTTTATGTAATATAGTTAAAAACATTTTTTAAGTAAAAATGACACATTACTACTAAATTACGATAATTAATTTTGAAATTTATAAAGATAACAAACAAAAATATAAAAGATTGAACTATATTGTAACTTATTTGCTAAGAATATACTTATACTTATTTTAAATTTTCTAAAACAAAGTTCTTGAAAATTTGTACTCACCAATAAAAAGTTAAGGTCATGCTTATATGTTATCCAATCACATTATATATATGCCAGAAATCATTTTCTTTTGCTTCAGTATCCTCACATCTAAGGAGTAACTACTCTTAAAATAAAATCATGCACTAATGTGAAGAACCCTCTAAAACCCTTGCAATTAAACTAACACATGATAATTATACACTAAAATTATTTAATAATTACTATTTACATAAAACAAAACTTTTTAGAAGCTGACAGCATGTCATGCATCACCCCATTGTCATTCTTTTCCTTATAATATATATATAATCTCCGGAGTCTCAAATGAAATTCAAAACAGAAAAAGATTATTTTATTGACTTAATTAGATATATATATTTTTTGCTCAATACTTAATTATATTTTTAATCCTTATAAAAGTAACACTCTTTACAATAAATCTTTAAAAAAATTGCCAAGATTTATTTTTGACATTTAAAAAATGTTAATATTTAATCTATATCTCTATTAAGTGATCAACTGAATTTAAAAAAATTAATTCATCACTGTCACATTATTATTATTTTTCATATTTTATTGTATAAAAAATAATATATACAAAAAAAATATCTAAAAAATCAATATTATTTTTTCCCTAAGTTCTTTTCTCTTTCCCTTTCTTCAACTTGTGAAATAGTGGTGCTGCGAGGTGCATCTTTAGAAGCAGGTGAGTCTTCAAAAAAGCCTGAGAAAGAAAACACTAAAAAAAGAATTTATCAAAAGGAGAAATAGTATAACACATCATCGAAATGGGTGCAAATTTTTCAATCAATATTACACAACAAAGAACAATTGAGTCTTATAGAATAAGTCGATGGAATTACAAAACCAAACATATTTGCAAAAGTTAGATCAAATGCAAAAAAGAAATCAAATTGAGCGAGAAACATAGGGCATATGTTGTGTAACACAATAAAGACAAATTGCAATAGGTAAGGTAGGAATGGAATGAAGATGAAATTATGGTTGGGGAATTTGAGAGTGATGAGAAAGGAACTAACCGAGAATGAAGTACAGAGAGAAAGAGGCGAGGAAAGTGAGCGATGGGTTTATTTTCTTTGCTCTCCTTTTATTTTTATTTTTTTTAATTCACTGTGAAGGAAAAAAAAACAGCCAAGTAAAAAAAGAAGTAAATCAAGTCCCTCTATCCATGGTTTGAGCCATTCAAGTTCGGGAAAACAATGTAAAAAATAGGAGTGCGCCAAAGAAAAAAAGGAACTAAGAGTTCTTTTTCTTTGAGAGTAAATTAAAAAGGATGAAGCTATGAATAAGACGAGATAAGCACCACAAAAAAACAAAATGCCACTAAACGGTGGGTCTACAAAGGAGAAGAAAATGATGTTTGAGATTCTTGGTATTTGGAGTGTTGAGAAGATCTTCAATGGTTGAAGAAGATGGGGAATCTTTGTATTAATTAATCATTTTTAAAAATAATAAGAATATTTTTTAAGATTTTTTTATAAATATTAATTTTTGAATATAAAATATTCAAAACAATTATAACATATCAATTATGAGTTAAATTTTTAATATTCAAATTAAATTCTAACCATTTTTTAAATGTCAAGACTAAACAATTTTTTTAAAGACTTATCATAAAGAGTACTTCTTTTGTAAGGACTAAAGACATAATTAAATTTTTTTTGTTTACATATTTTTATGCTACTTTCTAAGCATACTTTAGCTGATTGGATAAATTTTGCATATTCTATTGGGTGGAATTATCAACTTTGGTGGAAAAAGGAACTTGAGGAAGAAAAGTGTAAAGGTGTAAAACTCCATTCCGGGGAAACACGAGTTCAGTAATAAAAGCAATGACATAGAACAATAGGTCACTCCTCACCACTTAATCAAAATCAGAAAGTGCAGTAAAAATAAGCACCTTCTGTGTTAGGAGCCTCTTGCTTTCATTTACAAATCAACACTATAAGGTCTGTGAATTGTCAGAAATATGTTCCAGGTACTGCTTCACTCGACTTCGATTTATCTCAAATATCAACGGCATGCTTCTCACCTACAAAATAAACCACTTTTTTTATTCAGATATGTGAAAGAATTTGCATTTCCTATTAATACAGGTGAAAAAAGGGCAGTGAAACAAATTATATTTTTACTTTATAAATTCAATTATTTTATAAACTAAGATAGACTTGCCACAATATAAAAAGCAAAGATGAAATTGAAATAGACTAACTACTATTTTACCATTTCAGTCCATGAGTTATTAAGGGTGGAAATTTTAGTTTTTAAAATTTTAAAAAAGTGATGCTAGTCCTTAACTTTCATTTCTATCAAATATTTTAGTTCTTATAAAAAAAAAATATATTAATATATTATATTAAATGATATATATAATTAATTATGTGACAAAAATAACAACATATATGATATAAAATATATTTAATTTATTTTAATTTTTAAGATTGCCGTCCGTTAGATATTTCAATATATAAGATTGTCACTCGTAAGACATTTTAATTCTAAATTTTTAAAATTTTTCAGCTACTTATCATTTTTCTTCATTCTCACTCACCAAAACTATCATTGTCAGTTTTTTTTTTTTTTTTTTTTTTTTTTTTTTTTTTTTGCGACAAAGTCATACTTCTCCAACCTTATCACCTTTTTTCCATCCAATCATGTCATCTTGCCTTGAACATTTAAATTCAACATTCCCTAGTTCTAAGCTCAAGCTTTTCCACGGTAGTTAATTTATTCAAATCTCTCACATTTTATCTCATAAAATGCCAAAATAACTCTTTAATTATAACATCTAAAGAACAAAAAGTTATAAGTCATCTTTCGCAAGTAGTATTTCTCAACTAGGTAGCAAGAAACAAAGACCTAAAATTGGAAATTTCGATATTAAAATTTGGGAGAAAAGAATAGGATGCAAGAAAAGTGGAAGAAATCATGGTGTTGGAGAGAAGGCGATAAGGTTGAAAAAGCACCAAAAGGCGACAACTTTGTTGCCAGCAAAGAATAGTAATGGTAACTGTGTCTGATGCTCATTATTCTAAGAATTAAAATGAAGATTTAGTTAATTAAAATAATATAATCTGTTATGTGTCATTCTTATAACACCAGCTGTGTTTTATATCCCTACTATGGCTATATGGTGAAATTGAAGTAGGAAGTACAAAGAAATTTGTGATGCTGTGAACTTAATCCAACTTAACAAATAGGAAAAAGCATCTGCAAGCATATAAACACTATTGGCCACACATCATGTGCAAAATTAAATTCCCTACACCCAAACATTTGCCAACTGCTTAAACCAAAAAAGGTGATGTAATGCCAATTGCAGAAACCAAACGTTAGGCATATAAAATTCATAATCAAAGGATCAATGTTATGACAAGCTAAGCATAGCATCATCTTCATATCTTATAAGTCATAAAGACACATACATATCCTATCTACTTGGCATGAAAAGACTGTTAAGAAGCATAAAGTTGAAAGGATAGCACAACACATGGGCAAGAACATATATGCATACTGAAAAACTTTCCAAATAAGCATAATGACAGACCCCTATTACTGATTTGTGTGCTACAATGGGAGGTGGGAATTCAGCAGGGTAAAAAATGAGAATATGATAGAGAAGAAGGATAGGTAGTGCAAGGCAGGCATGAATGAAGAGGTAGTCTCCTTTGATTTTATCGAAAAAAAATGAAAGAAAATCATTTCCTATCAGATAATTCACATTGAGGCCTGTACAAACCAATCAAATTTGACAGGAGATGTATGACATACCTCAATCAGATAATTGGAATGCAATCTTTGAGATTGACCAGTGTGAACTTCTTTGCTATTTACCAGGATTGAACTCTTGCCAAAGTTTTTGATGTAGAATGATCCATCTTTATCCATCTTTATAATTGCCTACAAGTTAGCAAGGAAAAAAACATAATTAGTATATTGAAGTCAACTTTTATTTGTAGTGAAGACAACACCCAACTGTCTATGCCCGACAAATAATGTCTCAAACTGAACAAGAACAAAATAATCCTGCATTCCAACTATTTAAATTTACAGCATGTTAACATCACATTTTAAGTAGAATGACTAACATGAACCAGATGAAAGATTGCCCCCATTGTCAGATGACTTACCCTGATGCATTAAAGCACACATGGATCCTTCGTACACTATTATAGGTATGTTGAATGCAATCTTAAGCAGTAATGACTAATGAGAATGACCGTGTCAAGCATTTCATTATAGCATACTGAGGTTATTAATAGTAATACTGTAGAACTAATTTTCTGATGTAAACAGCGTCATCCAAATTTGAAAACGTGGAGTAGATTATGCATGCTTTTATCAAAATCTATAAAACATACCAAAAAGGTTGCCACAACATGAACATTGACATTGAAGTTGACAAATATAACTAACCTGACGTCGAGATATTGCATTGCCATACCCTCCTTTGCCCAAGTCAATATCCACAGGAACACCTTCTGTCGCTCGTCCAAGTAAAACCTACAGGATGAATCAAGCCATCATCAAGGCATCATTTAATGTCTTAAAATTTAATTTACACTATGGATCTCAACTAAATTTCAGTCGCACATCACAGAAAGCCTTCACTCTTTCAAATATAAGAAAAGAAGTATGCCAGAGCAGGGGGCACTTTTCAAAGCAAACTTGTGCTTATATTTGTTGAACAAGTCTATCCAACTACTACTTCCTTGATTATTTGCCATTCTTCACAAATCACTCCACAACTTACAACTAGATCACCTACCTCAGGTCAGGAACACAATCTGAATAGAACAAGTGTACATAACAAAATATATAATGCGAGTACTTTTTTGCAGTAGTTATTACAAACAAAAACATGAGTTTGTTATGCTTTGATTATTACAAAAGGAATCGTGAAAAACATCTCTCAAATGACATGAAGTAAGCAGTTTACATGCTCAAATACCTCGGGTTTCCTAATATAATGCTTCGAGTGGCGACCATATAAAATGGCAAATGCTCCATGTGAATTAATGGCTCTCTGAATACAAGAATGGGCACCCTGTTCCAGCCTCATGATTGCTCGCTTACTTTCCACATGTTGATATTTTGATACTAAATAGTAATCAGAGTATACATTGTTAGACTATAATAAAAGAAGGTAGTTGGTGGAAGTGGAAGCAATAAAAAATAAATATGCTATCATCAATCTTAGATGTATTTAGTGTAAAGATAGTAATCCAAACAAAACAATACCCAATTGAGATCAACAAGCATATTTAATGACTAACGATCAAGGAAAACATACACACACAAAGGCAAGCAGACACCATGCATATATTCAGTAAAATTCCGTAGTTTCCATATATTATGCAAATGACTTGCAGAATCCATGATCACACATAAAATTCAATAACAAGTTTGGTGCACAGCTCAAATCCCACTCCAATGCAAAAAAAGGACTGTAACACAAAAGATATGAACCTTTTAACCATGACAATACCATAAATACCATATAAGTTGCACTGCAATAAAGCTTTTAGAGGTTTACCAATGAACTGAAAATCCTTGGAAAAAGCATTAAAGTATTGCTACCTCTACAAATGCAAAAACACCTTAAAAAAACTCCATTGACCCATAAAAAGGCCTCACGTTTTATCTTTATTCATCCCTTTGCGAAGACATGTAAAAATATGGTCAACCACAAGGAAGAGAACTGAGCACTGAGAGGCTATAAACAACCAAAATATGTCTAGCACACTTGGATACCATGAGGCCACATCAGAAAAGTAAGAAATAGAACTATTTTTTAGTTGGGTCATTTATTTGTATTGGTATCTATTCTCCAGAGAAAAAAAAAGGATAACAAATAACACAAAGTAATGGCAATTAAAATTCATGGCAATGTAATAGTGTAATACCTTCCTCATTATAAGACAAATCTTGATGATCATCAGGATCTAAGTCCATATCAAGTACCTGTAGGAGGCAGAATGATTAAGGCAGATTATGGTGACAGATATTATAAAAAGGTAAAGTTAACTGTTAATCAAAATATTGATGCAATACACCTTACCATTGCCTCTACATCAGAATAAGAAGGAATTTCATCGTCACTCTCTATATATTGTTGTTCCTCATTTAAAGTTTGGGGATTTACCACCAGCTCTGACCCAAGAACATCCAAGGACCCCACTTCAGCATGTGGCAACTGGTGGTCTTGAAGTGGTAAGGCTAAATCTTGGTCCTTCTTCATGCCAGAACCATTGGATTGGGGATGATCTCTGAAGTCATTAGAACCAACAACTGCTTTCTTAATGAAAGGATTTGTCACACGATTGTTTAGATGCTTTGCCAGGTCAGCATTGGTAGCTTCTTCTTTTTGATTTGAATGCAGAAGAGCATTGGTTGTGTTTGCTGCATTATTTACACCCAAGCCACCAACAACAGTAACTGCACTCCTAGACCCTGTGTGTGATGTATGACTAGCAGGCAAATCACAGTTTACCTTAGAACCAGCAACAGGTCCTGAGAAGTGAGCAGATCCCGTCATTTGAGGGGATGCATGAGATTCTACAAGGTTTTTCTTTTCTACATGCATCAAAATTTTACCTCTTTCACTGGCTCTGTTGTCATTAAATCCATAATCCTGAACAGATGATGAAATTGGTTTACTGGATTCTTTAAAAGTTGAATTAGATGAAGAGGGAAATATGGAAGGAGGCACATCAAATGGTAGGAAGACATCATCATTGGATGGAACTTCTGGGTCCTCGGTGTTTAATGTACAGTAAATAATTCCATTAACATATTCGGGAAATTGAGGGTCTTTCCCCAAGGCAGAAGATGGCTTGGGCAATTCTAATTTGTGATCTAGTTGAACACCACTAGAGCCTGACCCTGGGTTGTCATCTACTTCTGCGTGACATGAAGCTGGCAGATCTGTAGCATGTGCCTGAGAGGCCATTAAAGATTCTCTTTCATCCGTTTTAGGTATCTGATCTTGATTAGCATCATTCGGAGTATTTAGTAGAAGTGAACTCAGACCATCATAGTAAGACTTGTCAATCCCATCTTTTCCATCAACATCCATCAGAAAGAGTTCTTCCTCACTACTGAAGTTGAAGAGAGAATTGGACAGTTCTTCCAAATAGGCCTCCCCACAAGGAATAGAGTCTTTAAAACCATCACATGGAATATCAGACTCTTGAATGCTGTCATCTGTTCTCCAGATTGGCATTTCAGGAAGTGGAGATAAGTTAAACGATGTTCCACACTCTAGCTCAGGTGAATCAAATACATTGTTGTCATCAAACTCAGAACACAAATTTCCAGGGTCATTGTTGATATGATCCAATGCAGACAAGGGCATTTTCTCTAAATTATCATCTCCAATCCACTCATCTATACCCAAATCTTTTGGAACACCCAAGTCCTCAGCCACTCCATTCAAAGACATATTATCTCCAAGAATTTGAGGTTCTTCCTTAAGTATACAATTTTGCTCAACAGGGAAATTCTCTTCAACTGGATTGTCAACTCCAGTGCTATATGCATGAGCAGTAACTCCATTAGAAGCAACATTACCATCCATCATATTTTCAGAAAAAGCATACCGAGCAGGATCCAGATTTGAAAAATGATTCAAAGTTTCACCTTCTGGCATGCAGTTTTCAGATAGAGGCTCACTTCCATTCACTATATAATTGCCATTTTCCGGATCAACTATAAAACCTATATCCATGGAACCTAATGAGCTATTGCGGATTCTTTTGTGCATAGCATAATACAAAGCGCGAACACTTCCAGATTTTCTCTTAACAGAAACAACTTTACTCTCTTTTAAAGGTCCAAACTTAAATAACCTCGACGGAAGAGGCGATGCAGAAAGCTCAAAGTTCGTCATGCAAGCAGAAGCCTCAGCAGAAATTACAGGATCATAGAGGAGAGAATACCATCGATCTTGTATTTCTCTAATACCATATCTTCGAGAAAACTGCACTGCTCCTTTCGCGAGTGACTCTAAGGAAGCACCAGCCTGCAAAGTGCAAATAAAAAACTAAATACTAACAAAACTTAGACACGAATCCTGGAATTTTCTCAAAAATGAAAACCAGACGAAAACAATATAGATCTATTCATTATTCAGTATTCATCATATGTTTGGCAACAGACTTTTCTCCATGAAATAATCGCTCTTCTCTTAACAGAAATGAACTATCATTTCTCGAATATAAGTTGAACCAAATACTCAGATACACAAACACGTGTACAGTCAACTATAGACTTAAACATGTCAAAGATATGCGTGTTGCAATAATGTAGGCACCAAATTTACGTGTTTCGTAATATATGATTATTATTAATAATAGTCAGAGAAATTCCTGGTGTGAGTAGGTGTCCACTGAAGGCAGGAAAAGGTAGAAGAAAAATAGAGTGTATGAATCGAAACGAGAGAAAGTGATTATGGAAAATGCAGCAAAAGAGAAAGAGAATGCAGATAAATAAGAAAATGAATGAGGAATAAGGGAAAAGGAGAACCTCAACGGCGTTTTTGAGCAAAAGATCATCTTCGGGAGTCCAAGGGGCGAGTGTAGCCAGAGCTCCCATTGCTCAATCAATACTATCTCTTTGTCTCCCTCCCAAACCCAAAACCCCTATGTCAAATTGTCAATGTCACTGTGCTAAGTGCTTTTCCTTCGACTTAAGGGTTTTAACCTTTTTAGGCGCAAAGAAACCAAAACCGTCCCGCGGCGTTTGTTACGCCCAAAAGGGGTTTCTTTTCATCTTATTTTCTGGGAGTAAAATTTACCTCCCAAATTTCTTGTAAATTCTTTAGATATCCCATATCTATATTTATTTCTATTTGTGTTATCAAATTTACTTATTCTTATACTTGTAAAAGAATCTACTTCATTTTCTTTGTTTTGATGCTACTGGCATATGGTCTCTTAGGAGAGCGCGTTAAGCCCCTCTTTTAAGTAAAAAATAAATAAAATTTACTTCTTATACTATTTTATTTCACCCTCATAATATATTTTATTATTAATTATAATTTATAAAAACAAATTGTGAATAAATCTCACGTGATTTTATAATATTTAATAAATTTTAACTGTTAATAAAATATATCTAAAAAAATTTGTGTTACTATTTTTTTATACTGATTTTAATTATGATTGTTGGTCAAGGTGGACAGATTTTATTCCCTTTTCTGTGGAAAGATTTTCCTTTCTTAATGGAATGGTTTTATGTATAAAGAGATTAAAAAAAAAAAACTAATCAATTATTAAATTCATAAACTAGTACTGTAACAGCCTCCCGTTTCACTTCCAGTACTACCTTTCGGTGGTCCATTCATGACCTCATCGTCTTTATCGTTATAAATCATTAATTTATTGTAATTTTTTTAGTTTCATAATATATATATATATATATATATGAATCTATGTATTAAGTTATATTTTACTTGTCTTTATTTCTTTTAAATAATATTTTAAAAAAATTTATACACTATATATAATATAAGAATCCTTCGGATTTGAATTTTATTAATTTACATTTTTTAATATAAATTACTAATAAAGATGATATATCTTAATTTCAATAACTTGTTTTAGTGATTTTTTAGTTATATAAACTTATCTTTTTAATTTAGTTGTTTTAATATAATGAAATATTTATTATTAATAGTACAAATACAAATTATTTTACTTTCACAAAAAAATTATTTATTTATTTATTTATTTCTTAAAAATATATTTAATTTTTTAAAAAACAAGCGTGACAAATGTGCTCAAATAACTTATTGGTTATATCTTTAATTTTTTTTTAAGAAAAAAAACACTTTTCTTACCTTTTTTAAATACATGGAAAATTTTAAATATCTGTAAGCATCTGAATTGACCTATTCAAGTTAAACCCTTACAGCGCATTGCTAGTTTATGCTGCTTTTAATTGTATTCTTTATAATATCTTTCAATTAATGGATTTTTTTTATAAATTAATTTTAAAAAATTAATATTCAAAAAATTAATTTTGTTAAAAATGTGTTTTTTAGTATATTCAAAAGCATTTATGTTTTAAATGTTTTAAAAGAGGGTTTTAAAATATTTAATTTTACCGAGATGTTCAATGAATGTAATTTCTGTAAGATGGGAGAGCTGCATTTTAAAGAAAAAAGTACATAAATAATAATTAATTGTAACCAACTTCGATATTTGTTATAAATGTATTTATTTTTTTTTTATCAAAAAATGTATTTTTTATTAAATTATTAATCATTGATAATTTAATTGAAAACAATAAATCATCTATTTTTAATGAAGTAAACCCACTCGTTTTAGCATGAATAGAGTATGCCAAAATGTGAACCGTACTGTGAATGAAGAATACAAAAATTAGTTATAGAGTATTCATATATTAGTATAGAAATTTGTATAGTGTCAATCAATTAGAATTATAATTTTTATATTAAATATTTCACAAATAATATATTTTGTCTGATATAATAATTCATTATTAAATGATAGTGTATTTAAATTAATTTTATAAATATTTATTGTTAATGAATAAAAAGTTGATGTTTTTGTTGATTTAAATTATTAAAAAATTGTCTGTGGCATTTGGTCAATTAAACGTAAGAGGAAGTGCTCTAATCATATTATAATAAAATATAACCAAAAAAAATAAAATTTACCAGAATTCAAATTAACATACATGAACTATTAAAATAAAATTTAGTCATATTTATAAAAATTACAAATATATTTAATTAAATCTTATAAAAAAAACATCTATCAATATAATATAAGTCTAAGCATAACTTCGATCTAATTAATTTTGTTTCAATTTTTCTTCGTTATCACCCTTTCTCTATTAATCACTAAAATATTCCATATCTCCTACTTAATCTAAATTCCATACCATTAATATAACGACTAGTAAGTTTAAACATATTATTCTGTTTCCCTATCATTTTTATTTCTTTTATGTGATCAAGAATTTCATGCATTTGTAATTAATTAAATTAACTATTAGTTTTTTAACATGTACATAAAGCACATATTAAAAAGTTAAAATAGGAAATTCTATTAAAAAATAAAATATTTATTATTTCAGATTTATTAAAAATCAATACATATTTTAAATAATAATTGAATGTATATATTATATTATATTTAAAAAAAATTTTCACACGTGTCTTTGAGCACATATTGAAAAAATATTTATTTAATACAATTACTTTTTTAAGTGAATAAATACTTCGCGCAATATTAAAAGAAATATAAATTTGAAAATGACAGTACACGAATGAAAGACAAACATGCTTGAATTTGATTTGGGTAGACTTTGAAAAGTAAATACACAATTAATACGAAAGAGAAATGAATATAGTAGAAACTTAGAATATTATGATTAGACATAAGAAGAATTAAATGTTACAATTATACCAATTAAATTGAATGGAAAGTATGGAACACGAAAGTGATATTTTATTTATTTATTTAACTTGTAAAAGCATTGTCTTTTAGTTTGGTAGATTTTTAAAAAATATAAAGTTTGTATATTGAAAATTTTCACCATTTCCACATTTAAAATTGTCTCTATCCACTTAACAAAAAAATTCACATTCAATAAAAATAAATAATTTTTTTACTTCTCTTTAAACATATCACAGAATTATACTGTTAAAATCCAAATTTATGATCAAACAGAATACATAAATATAAAGGGTTTAAAAAATGTTTACAAAATATTTTTTATAAAAAATACCTCAATCAATCATACTTGAAGTGAAAAACTTAATTTTAATAATTAAAAATTTAAAGTGAAAAAAAATGATTAAAATCACATGTATATGAATAGTCAATTTTAACAACTTTAGAATTTCAGTATATTAAAAAGAATATATTAATAATTTTAATAAGAAAAAAGTATAAAAAAATTATAAATTATAAAACATTCGTCACACTGAACATTCCCACTGATAAAAGGAAACATGACGTCATATTTCCGGTATGATTAGGCTAAACAAGATACACATAACAGTTCATCAGTTGGAATTTAATTCTCACAGGCGTTGAGACCGAATATACTTTAAACAGAACGTAATATATAGCTAGTCATTTTTATTGGAAATTAAGTGAATGTATATTTCTGAGAGGGCTTGCGTACTAGAAAAGTAAGGGGTAAGTTGTAAGATCAGAGCCTGCTCCGCAATGGGCATTAGGATGGGTTGGCTGTAGGCTCAATGCAAACATGCGTGGACCTAAATTTGAGAATCCCATCACAGACTCATACTCCCCTCCATTGTCTATCAATCCATAGCGTGGATCTTCCGCTCTTGCATCCTTTTTAATCAATGAAACAATTGCCATTTTAGAACGTGTGAGCCACGAAGCATTAATATGTTAAAATAAACAGAAACTTATGCTGAATAAAACACATACCAAGTCACGCAGAAGTCTGTTGTGCACTTCTCTCTCGTTATTAAACTACGAAAAAATACAGGAATTTCAACAATCAAATGAATTGAACCAACCACAAAGAAGAAAATATTATTGACGGAATAAGTTCGCCACTTTTACCTTCTTCCTTTGGGTGTCAATCTGATTTGTTATCACCTTGTACTGTCAACAATTGTCATAAGGAAATTGTTAGAATGGTACGGTATAGTGAGTTCGAAATCTTCAAACAGGATCATAAATGAGTTGTTAGGTGTGATAGTTAAGCTTTTCACAACCAGTAAATTGTATTACTAGATGCAACTGTTTATATACAATTAACTTAAAAATTAAAACGCCAGATATGTTCTCCGTAAACAATAATGTCATATAGTTTGAAGAACTTCTGGATTATGTGTTCCAAAGGAGACAGAATAAGAAATTTGTATTAGAATTAATTTTTAAGAACAGAAAACTGTTTTAAAACCAAAAATCAAACATACCCTAAGTGTTTTGAAGAAAAAGAGAGACAAGTTGTGTTGGAAGAAAGAAGAATAACTATACTTTCATTGTGTTTTTTACTTGACAAATGCTAAATAAGTCTAGGGCCTAAGACATATATATTAATGTACTCACGTTGGCATTATAAAAAAAAATTGTCATTTATTATTTGACAAAAAGTATGAACGATAAGATTGTTTCTTTTACTCTTTTTACAGAAAACGAAGGAAATATTACTACCCGAAAGAGTATAATTAAGGTAAAGTCCGTGTCTCTATTAATATAATATTTTTCTAACAAATAAAACTGTTAGTTTAACTTCTATTGGTATATATGATATACTTATTATACTAATATTTAAAAAATATTAAAAATATTAAAAATTATGTATTATTTTGTATGCTAACAAAACTATCTATTAGCATGATATATCATTTTATCAATATAAACCTATAATATTTATGATGACTAATTTAATACTAAATTATATATGAATATATGGCATTTTTTGTACAGTGAAGCAGATTCAAAATTCCATTTATAGCATAGAAGCCAATATGCCCAGATTAATAGATTAAATACTGAAATGCTCTCGCTCCGCTGAAGCGAAAACCGGAAAAGATATCACAAATCTCTATAGGATCCACACTCACCTGTAGAAAGAAACTATACCCAGAAAACAGG